CTGCAACTTACTATGAGAAAGCTCACTTGTTTATAGCTTACAAGGGAAGGATGGTCAGCCGAAGTGACCGTTTGCGATGGTTTATATACCATACTGGAGAGCATAAGACGCTAATTTCAAATATGTCTTCCTTATCTGCGGCGCATCCCTGCACGAGAAGTTATGAGCGCTTATTGGAGAAAAAATTAAATGTGCAAATAATATTAAAAACAATAGTAACATTATTCCTAGCGCTTAAATGGACCAGTGGTAATCTTTCCAGCATTAGAATAAATACTCTTAGAGGAGATATATCTGCACTCCGGCTTTCTCATTCAAGCGCTGGGAAAATATTAGCAACTGTTTTTATCCCAGAAGACACTCATTTTTTGCTTATTTTTTGCTTCTTCAAACGCTCAAAACTCCTCGTCCAGGAACGTGCCGCAGATAAGGAAAAGATTTGGAATCAGCGTTTTATGCTTTCCACCACGGTATGCAACACATCTCAGAAGGCCACTTTGACCAACCATCCTTTCCTTGTTAGATAAGGTTATAGGAAGGTGCAAGGTTAGAGACCGAACTGCAAATTTGGTAAAGTGCAATGATTGCGGACAAGCATGAGAATGGTTGGAGTTTCGATCTCCTCCAATGACTTTGCTTTGCAAGATAGCATTTCGAGGTTTCATTGGTTAATTCGTGGTTTCGTTGGGAAAATGATGTGAAGCTGCTGTTTAGCTGGTGTCATGAAAACACAGTTAACATGATGGTTTCGACCAAATTACTACCACTCCAGACTTTTAATGGAATATGGAACGGTAATCTTTAATCCAGCGAAGCATGGAATTGTGCAAGTACTGAGAAAGTGCACAAAAGTTTCATAAAGAATCTGTTGGTCAGAACTAAGATCTTATATGTGACTTTTACCCAATGGAGGGACCGTAATAAGGCCTCTGGACTGGTCAGCCTAAGCCGCAGGGAAAAGAAGTTTGATCTTGTTATGGCTCAACATATTATTTCGAGAGTGTCAACTCAATCCTGTCAACTTTTTCGAAATCAATTTTATAGAGAAGGACGTCAAATGGTAATATCAAGAGCAGGGATGGATGTAAGGCAAAGATCTTTACAAACAGAGGCGGCGATTTAGATAAGTCATGAGAAAGGGTATATTTCCTATTAACTATCTTAGTTCAAATATTATTAAGGACTATTTATTTCCTCCATAATTTCTTCTTTTGATTGTTCATCATTTGTTGGCAATTTAGTTTGTTGTGTTGCTTTGTTTTGTTGATTGCAATTTGTCATCCTGTCAATTGTAACATGAATAGATTATCTTTATGCAATAAAATAATAATCTAAGTCTGCCAGAGAAACAGCTTTTGAGTACCAACGTAGCTTGAACACTGCGCACATGAAACCTGTGGATTGCTGGCCGCTGGGGATCATCGGGGTGTACCAAAAGGATGACGCGGCTTTTACAACAGTAGTGCGTTTAATATGCTGACAGTATAGAGTAGTAGAAACACCTGAGGATGGAAGAAGAGCCTACAATTTGAATCCTTGGAGCTTCAAAATAACTTTCCTTTAAGCTGTGCTACCCTCTCCAGCGGGAATGCTCATGCATGCGGCCCTTATGGTTAGAAGAGGGGTAGAAGAGCGGAGGACGGGGGGGGGGTCGCATTATTTTTTGTGTTCCTCAACTCTTGTTCGACTCTAATCATTAGCGAAGTCGGTTAGTTATTAAACACTGAGTGTTTCAGCCTGTCAACCGAAAGTCCGTTATAGAAACGACCTCATACTTAAGTTGGAAAATAAGCTTTGCGATTTTTTTCGTACCAAATCTGGCATTATGTAGGTTTTGACTACAAATATGCGCAAACTTCCCCGGGAAATTGAACGACCTCGGAGTGTTGTCCTGCTGAATACTTTTCAAAGTCAAAATCTATTGTCTTCTGACACAACAACTACTACGTAAAATGAGTATGACTGCCTAGATGCATGCCGAATGACCCTCCTCGTCGAATTTCAAGCCAAAACTATAAGCCTGTGCCGTATAAACACAGTGACCCATACTGACGAAAAATTCTTGCAGAAGAGCGGCTGAATTTGTAGCTTACATCATGATCTACGTGAAACCTAGCTTACAATGAAGCCCTTTTAGTCGAAGTGGCTTTTCCACATGACACCTATATCAGTTTGTAGATCATTGAACGGCGACATCAAACCTGTCTTAATTTCCTGTGGAACACCTCTTCAAGAATAAGTTGCAAAAGTTTGAAAATCAAATTTGTCAAGCTTCGAGTGGCACAAAATTCGAAAAGCTGTACAAAAACATCTGTGCGGATTTCCACAGGCTGTGTCCTTTCCTTGTAGTCAACGTACTTGATACAAATCTGATTACCTACTTTCAGCTGTATTTGTAGCTTTCACTAATTTTGTGCAATTTATAGCATGACATGTTTGGACTTTCAAATACTCATAATTTCTTTCAAAGGGTGTTGTTCTTCAGAAAAAGAAAGCGGATTTAAAATCAGCGTAAGACGTGTCTAGTGATTTAGGTGTTATAAGGAGAAGCAACTTCGACCAAGAAAGCTCCTCTTGTTAGTTGCCTAAGGAATGCATTGAACTGCATTTAGCTAGCTGCTAAATGCACATAGGGCTTATCAAATTGAGTGTCGTTTGCGCCAGCATCTCCATCTTCGCGCTGGACTCTGCGTCTCTTCTGCAGCACATGTCCCTAATCACTTCCAATCGATTGAGGCTCCGCTTTTCCCACGCTCGCCCTGGGAAGGTGCTTAGAGAGCAGCCCGCGGAAGAGACGCAGAGTCCAGCGCGAATATGGAGATGCTGATGCGAACGACACTCAATTTGATAAGCCCTATATGTAAAACTGACGAGTTGCAAACTCAACGAGATTGATACCTCTTGATCCAAGCTTACCTATTAATGACGAGCTCTACAAAAAATTCTCGCAAAGCGCATCAAAACGCATCGGTTCGCCTCTCCATTCAGTCACTGAGGCAATCCCGAATTAGAAACTTACACAAAAATCTACTCAATTCATTGACATCACTTGACCAATCAAATTCGTGATAACTTTCAGCAAAGTCTTACGCAATTTGAAATTCAAAATTGGAGGTCTCCACGAATGAAAAGAATTGATATACACTGTAATTGCGTAAAAGTAACTCAATGTCTTGGTAATTTTACCGGATTCTTGAGCAAAAAAGGAATCTAGCAAACCATAGGTGCGATAAGGTGAGAATGACTCTCTTAGGGTGAAGGGGGTCACAGTGGTCGCAGCCTCTCCAGGGTGAAGGGTGTTTCACTTGATCGAGAAATTGTGAAATGTCGACCGAGGGGAAGGGGGGGAGGGGGAAAGAAATGCTGGTGTTCTCTCACAATTCTCCCTAATCAACGTTTTATCATTTTCGATTTTTTACCATCATTTGCTTCTTTTTTGTGGAGATTAAAGTAGGATTGAAAATCCCACAAAAACTGTCTGTTTTCGAAAGTACCATAGAGTTGAAGATGTGTATGCAAGAACATCTGTTTCGGGAATGATGTAGACAATTTTTGAGCATTCATAATTTTTTGAAAGAGAAAATTTATAATTGCTGTAGATGAACAGCAACGTCAGCAAAGAATTTGTTTTCAGAACCACCTTTTCTTCCGCTTTTAGGAATTTACAGTTTATCTGGAAGTTCGTCTGGAGTTATTTCCAAAAAAGTGCCGGCGAAGCTCGTGGGTAGTGATTTCCAAATATTTACGAACTTTTTTAGATAAAAAAATCCAGAACTTCTGTAGATGAAGATCTTATACGCCGAGATGGTTGACATCGGAACCATCTTGTTCTACGCTTTCCGAGGATATATAGTTTGCCTGGAGTGTTTGAAAAAAGTGCGTGATGAAGGGTGTGGGTAGTGATTTCTGGATCTTTTCGAATTTTTAGCAAAAAATTTTTTCTTTGTAGATGAACAGATAGTACTTGGAGATAATCACTTTTGAAACCGTCTCGCCCTCCGCTTTCAGAAAACATATAGCACGTCTGAGACCCTTCAGAAAATTGCCTGGGTGAAGGCTGTGCCTAGTGATTTTTGGAGATTTTCGAGTTTTTAGCCTAAAAATTCATAACTTTTGTAGATGAACTCTTATACGCCGAGATAGTCAACATTGGAACCGCCTCGTTCTCCGCTTTCAGAAAATATATACTTTGCCTGGGCCTCCACTTGAGCACTCCCATTATAAAATTCTTACCCACCCTTCCCCGGCACTTTTTTTAACGAACCCCAGGCAAAGTATATAATTTCTAAGAGCGGAGGACGAGACGGTTCCAATATTGACTATATCGGCATAAAAGATATTCATCTACAATATGAACTTATGTTAAACCTCGAAAATCTCCAAAAATCACTAGGCACACCCTTCACCCAGGCACTTTTTTGAACGGATCACAGACATTTTCTGAAAGCGGAGGACGAGGCGGCTCCGATGTTGGCTCCGTGTACCAGCTATTTATTTACAAAATTTATGAATTTTTCTACGTTGAAAACTCGTAGGTACCTCTATGAACGGACTCTCAAACATTTATTTCCTGAAACCAGAGGGAAACGTTGTTCCACGGAACTTTCCTCGCTGACGTTGCTGTGCAACTACAGAAGCTACTATTTTTCTTCCTTCTGGAAGTTCGTGAACTGAACTTCCAGAAGGAAGAACTGTGAATCCCTATAAATCTTCTTCCTCCTTTCCGATACACAAACAATTCCCGTACTAATATTCCCTTGGCTTAGCCTTACCTCACTGTTGATTTTTTTTTTCGGCTTTTGGTGAAGGTGATCACCTTGTTGCCGGTTCAGGGGTGAAGAGAGGGTGAGCAAATTCTCACACTATCGCACCTATGCAAAGCGGTAATTTGCTTAGCAAACTACCGCTTTGCAACTCGCAATGTTTATGAATTGCACGATAAGATAAGAAGTGATCAAAATTGAGGTGATAACTTAGTACTCATTTTCTCACCATTATGTCGATGTGTCTGCGTCGGACCGGTAGGATGAAACGGGTGGAGCCACATGGATCCGCACCTTTTAGGCAAGTCACTCTTTTCCTTCTGAATTTGATGTAAACTACTGCTCCTAGTAACTTATCGAAGATGCTTTAGTAGTTCCGAGTCCGACTCAGGTGCATCACTCACTATCACTAACAACTTCACTAACAAACACTGGTCTGTTGCGCAAATATTTGATGTAAGTTTAATCTTCAAATGAAGAACGAGGAGATCGCGCTAAAATAAAAAGAATTGCAGAACTGGATTTATGCCTGGACACTGCCACAGCACATATCACAATCAAGGTTTGGAGGGCGGCGAAAACCTTCAAGCGCATGCACAATCATAGCCTTAGCAATGGCAAGAGTTTATCATAGGTGAGGAAACGCGAGAAGTGCTTGTTTACATGGTGATACATATGACGCCGCAAACCACATCTTATCCTATCATATTCAACAAACTCAAGCCCTACTTGCGTTGCGGGCAGGTGCGCATCTCGCCGGTTATCGTAAGAAAAAGAATCGTAAATCACGCCCATATGGAAACAACAGCTTTCCTTTTCACTCGACTGCTTTGCATAATTTCGAAGCTTACTTTATTCGATTAACAAAATTCGAGTGACATATTTAGCTTACACCTTGGCTTACACCTCACCTCGGGTTAGGTATATGGTACCAGTGCTTCACCTTCGCTTCGCAAAGGATTGCACTGTTCACCAAGAAAAGTGTAGTCTTACACTAGCTTGTTTCTCACATTATTCCGAAGTTGCCTGAAGCAAGTGAGCCCTATTCGAAAATGAACCACCCTCGCTGTTAGATATCACATACTTGAAGTATTGTAGTTCCACAAGTCATTCCTCATAATTTCGCAACGGGCAAAGTCCACACAGCCTCAAATTAAGTGGCTCTAAATAGGTCATGATAGACAATTCCCATACTACAGTGCTGGCCATGATTATAAAGCCACTCTAGAAATCGTCGTAATTTTCGTTCTTGTCAATGAATGTGTCTGGAACTTTGCTGCATTGTGCGAATGTCAATTTATCATGACCCTTCAAACGGCTTCCAGTCTTGTTCAGTTTGAAAGAAGAAAAACGAAGAACTTCGAAAAAGCCTTCATAAGCTGGACATAATTATAAAGCTACCTGGTTTTTCTAGTCACTATCGCATTCGTTGACTCTCAAATATTTTTGTGCAATTTAATCCTAAAATATGAAACATTTGCAACACCTACGGCTTGTCATCCTACTCAAATAGAAGGGATCACTACATTTTTTGCTTTTAAAAGCATCAAAAGTCAATCTGTTACAACAAACAGCTGGTTTAAGCAGTTCGCAAGCCCTTGTTTGTTTCAAATGATAGACATAAAATCTACTGATCTTTTTGGATAGATGAGGTGAAGAGCGCTCTCGTAAACTTTGCGTAGTCGCTGATATTGACGGACAAACTCCAACCTCACCATAGGGTTGACGTGCTTTTGCACCACAAAACTCTATTTGCAATCTTGATAAAGCGCTGGTTTTGATTTATCACATTGCCTACATGATGATGCAGCTTTCGTGACAACTCACAGATTTTCCCTAGTGATGCAGTTGCGATTTAGATTTGAAAAACTTTTCACAAAAATTCCCTGCGAGCAGATTCGATATAACCCTAGACCTCCTTACTTCCCTGTGCGTTTCATGTCATATATCACCCGATGAATGAAATTAGCTAAGATTTTGAAGTTCCAAGCGTCTCCTGTTTTATCTCGTAATCTGAGTTGGCTTTAGTTGTGCAGGGTGCTCCACTCAACATTTGGTGGATGTCAACTGCGGCTGAACCAGAGTGCTCAGTCCCGAAATTTTTCCTAGTCATGCACACAATTTCATTGTTGTATGGCTGTCGTAATGGCTACATTACAATATCATCTGTTGCTCGAAAATCGAGTTTTGTGGTGTAAAAGTGCGTCAACCCTATGGTGAGGTTGGAGTTTGTTCGTCAATATCAGCGGCTATGCAGAGTTTATGAGAGCGCTCTTCACCTCATTCATCTGCTCAGTAGATTTTATGACTGTCATTTGAAACAAACAAGGGCTTGAAAATTTCTTAAACCAGCTGTTTGTTGAAACAGATTGACTTTTGATGCGCTTAAAAGCAAAAAATGCAGTGATCCCTTCTATTTGGTAGGATGACAGGCCGTAGGTGTTGCAAATGTTTCTATTTTAGGATGAAATTGTACAACCAATATTTGAGAGTCAACGAATGCGATAGTGATTAGAAAAACCAGGTGGCTTTATAATTTTGTCTAGCTTTCATTGAAGGCTTTTTCGAATTTTTTCGTTTTTCTCCGTTCAAACTCAACAAGACTGGAAGCTGTGTTGAGAGGTCATGGCAGGTTGTCATGCGCACAATACAGCAAAGTTTCAGACAGATCCATTGACAAGAACGAAAATTACGACGATTTTTAGAGTGGGTTTAGGATTATGTCCAGCACTGTATAGCGGGCGTGGCCCTGCACAGATTTGAACGCGTTAAAAAGAAAACTTGCATGGCAGAGAACGCGTTAAAAAGAAAACTTGCATGGCAGACGTCGATGCACCATAAGCTATACCATGGAAAGACTATGGCACTGAAATCTTATTTGTGATTAGGAAATCTAAATGCTTTTCTCGTGCCTGCACAATGATAAAATGCTTTGAAGCTTGTCCTGTGGTGGCGACTATCGCGAAGAAAGTGTACTACCTGTTTGGAAACCTTTGCCTTGCAAAACGGTCGCTCTTTACGGAAAATCTGCGGAAAGATTCATCTACACTTTCAAACTAATTTTAAAATCGCTTGTGGCTTGTCGGTTTCCATGGGAACATTTATTGATGCGTAGCATATTTTCGAGCAAGTTCCGCAATCGTTATGGCAAAGTTCAAGACGACCATTCAATCGCCAGTTTTATTAGCACCGTTTTTTTCTAGATTAATCATCACATAAAAATCACATAAAGGGCGTCTTGTGAAAATAGCAGCTTCAACGGCTCAGTTCTTGACGGCCGCCTTCCTCGAATCTTGCATTGTTCGCCATATCCCCTGGGTGCATTGTCCCACGCCTCGGTGACGGTACAAGGCTTGGGAGTGATGCAAAGCCTAAAGGATGTGTGCGCTAACGCAGAGGCTGAATGAGGCGGCCGCGATGGATCGACTATAGGTTGTTGTGACACTCTGATTGTGAGAACTTTATGTTGTGCAAATTATGGCTAACTTGGCAACCTTTTAGAAATTTTGTTCTCTCAGAGATACACGCACGCATAATCGAGACTGTAAAGTAGTTTGTTTGAAGTCGACCGTGTCGCCGTAATCTTGCTGCGTACTAGGGCGTAGCTGCTGAGCTGGCCTGCAGTGGTGACTCGTACGAGTCTGCTTGAAGGCAATCGCTTTTGAAGCTTGGAGAGTGACTTCACAGAGAGGAGGACCACGCTAACCTGCTGATATTCGCCTGCGCCAGAGCCCTTTTTGAATTTTTCGCGCTCTCCAGTGGGGAATTTCGGATTCAGCATAGAGAATAGGCCCAGGTAAACACAAAATATTAAAATCGACTTCTTGCCCGGACACTGCCTTCAACTGCGGTACAGTTGATTTTGGAGTTCCCCCTTGATTGGTCATCATAATAGGATGATCAAAGTCAGTGAGACAATAGACGGAAGATGGTGTCTAATTCTCTCACAATTATTTTATTTCTTCTTTGTGTTTGTAGGTTTGGTAGGTCCGAACTAAACTGAAGCTAAGGCACACACATGTGTTGGTGTTCATCTTTTGATTTTCGCCCACAAAATTTAGGCAGCAATTGCCAAGCTGCGTTAGAATTTGACGTAGCTTGTTTTGAAGCCCGCTACGATTAACTGGAAAATTCTTCCGACGAACTTTTCGTTGTAGATTTATTTAATTATGCAAGTACGCTTTCATAACAATGATTTGAGGTCGGGTATGAAGCTGCCAGCTATGCCTTTATCAAGAGAGGGCAACAGTAACAATGTAAGTTAACCAAGTCCTTAAACAATCTGAAGGATGCTAATATGTAGGGTTTTTCGTGAAGTAGCAATCACAATTGTTTCAGGAAGTAATTATTCCAGTGTCATTGTTAGCTTTACTAACAAACTCTATAGTGGACGGAAATGCAGTGCATGCTCGAGAAATGGCGAAGCGACAGTAAGTCTATACAAACCGTAAACTAGTACTGATTAACAGATTAATTAATTATTTAGAAGCTCACGGGTGTCATTTCTACCAACACTCGATACGTTCACCATACCACAAGGAATTGAAGCATTAGGAGGAGTAATAAACGAAATTGATTATAGAAGTGTTCGCGGAACTACATGGAAATTACTGCCTCAGCATATTCAGCACGCTATAGATAGGTAGATAATGAATGACTGAAATGCAGCATTTCTATGAATACTTTGCAGTGAATATATTGCGCATCTACCTGCGCTATTTTTTGTACTGATTATTGTTGAGAGAGCAGTGCTGATTGTGCACGAGAGAGATAATGGAACAATTGCAATATTAGATTCTCATTCACATATGCAAGGAAAGAAAGGTAACATTTCAGAGAAGATCTGTGGCAACAGAGGTTCCCTACCTATTCAAAGTGCTAATTCAAAGGACAAAGGGACACAAAGTCTTGCGGTTATGAGCCTAAAGAATTCCACTTCATTGGCTAAACAGGGGCTTGGCACAAGAGGGCTTACAGGGCAGAATAAATATCGTTTTGGGGTAAGAAGCAGGACGGATATCTTTGCGGGGTTCGGAGCGGAGTTCCAAAGAGAAATGTGCTGTATCAGTTTAGTATGGTGTATATAATAAGATTGCCGAGTCATGTAAAATCGGGTCGAGGAATCGGGAGCAGTAAAATGACCAAAAGCCCTCACGCAAGGCAATTAGAACTGGAATTTTACATAAAAACAAACTGATCAGAGAGCTTCGATAAGTAAGCCAACTCAGCTTAACAATTTTTTGCGCTCTTTCCTATACAGGTAAAATTTCTCCCAGTGCTCTTTTCACATGAGTTACCTCTAAACTTTCATCATCCTCTTTTCATCTACCCCCTCATCTTCTGGAGACATCGCAAGTGCTCATCACTTAACAATCTCATTCTCTGCATTAACATCCGATTTGAATATGCCCTCCGTGAAAGCGTGAGAAAAATGTGCGAAAAAATGTGGGGAATGTAGTGAACAAAAGGTTTGTTTACCGCGACGAGGAAGTGATATGATACCAAAATTGATGTGTGATGGGCAACGGGGAGTGGGAATTCTGAAAAATTACGAAAAAATTATGCGAACTGAAGGCGTAGCAAACGTTTTTCAGAGGCTGACTGTCAATTCCCTAGTGAGCCACTGACAAAGAAAGGAAGGTTGGTCGAAGGCCATTTGAAATGAGATGCATACTGCCTTGTAGAGCTTGGAACGCTAATTCCAAATTTACCTCTGCTATCTGCTGCGCGCTTCTAGGCGAAGAGTTATGAACGTTTTTTTGAGTAAAAATCTGAATGCAAAAATAGGGTAAAATTAGTCGTAACAGCGAAATGGTACATTTGCATTAAGAATATTTGTTGCACCGAGTGACCCGACTACCAATTTCCCACTATAAAAATGTTGAGACTGATTTTAGCCTACTCTTGCATTCAGATTTTTACTCACAAAAACCTTCATAGCTCCTCGCCCAGAAGACCGCAGCAGATAAAGGGTAGATTTGGAATCAGCGTACCAAGCTCTACAAGGCAATATACATCTCATTTCAAAAGGTCACTTCAACCAACCTTCCTTTCCTTGTGAGTGGGTCAGAGAACAAATTCATTCATAGGCTGTATCAACCAGCATTGGTCCCGCGCCAATATGACTTGCGACGACGGACCGTCACATGCGGCATGCCCTAACGCGGAGAAGAGTTCGCACGCGTCACACCACACCGTCGCAAGTTGCCGCAGGCGCGACGTCGCATAACCGATGCTGGCTGGTACAGCCTATATTTTCCTCTCACATATTCTTTCAAACTTCTAACTCAACCTCATCTACATTCAAAACCTCTTCATTCGAAACCTTAAAAACTAGCTTTTGGACCTCCACAAACTCCTTCTTCCCCGAATGGCTACAGCCCTCCAAATTTTTTTAATGACGGCGGCAGTCCTGCTTAAAGCATGTGTTGGTGCTCTGGATGAACACCCTTAGTTTCTTTTATTCGTCTGTTTCAAGTTGTATTTTGTATTCTGTTCTATTCCTGTTTGTCATGTTTGATTTATACGTTTTTGGCTCGTTATTCAACGTATTAGGGAGATGTCATATTTTGTTGCGAAGACTAAGGGAACCTCGTTTCCAAATTGCCAAATCCACCTTTGCCGAGCTCTCTAACGAGTGCGTGAACACCTTTACAACGACTTGCGCGTCCGCCCATTATTAAGTCATTGTTTCTACACTCTCATATTACTCTAAGGGCCGATTGCATGAACATCTTGGCTGGGGAGGAGAACGCAGCTTTGAAGAGTGCGTCATGTCAAGAAACTCCACACACTTGGATATCACGCTGCTTTTTCATCCTTAAATCTCTCACTCTGTACCATAATGTACCACAAACTTCAAAAGGTGCGCATTGTTGTACGTTGTTGTGCCGGATATTTATTCTGAGTCGTAAAGTTCCGCGATGTTCGTAAAGTACCGCAATGATCTCAGCCGAAAAGATTCTTTTTCTCAAGATCATTCTCTCCTTCGAAGTCAGTGAAAACATCCCGAAGTTGTACCGGCTGCCTGATAAGTGTGAGTGTGCCTCTAAAAAAAGCAAATGAGTTGGAATCACATAACTTCAGAATGTTTCTAATGACTCTAAAAACAAAAAAGATTTTGAAAAAGAGACGCTTGGCTACAGGGATCATCCAATGTTTATCAAAAAGCTGGATAACATGGCTTGTACAACAATACGCTTCTGTTCGAAATTATAAATAAACCAGTGCTTCACCTCTGCTTCGCAGAGGTTCGCACTGGCATCGTGAACCGTGGTAAACTACTTTCTGAGAGCTTGTCTCTCAAATCATTGTTCGGTTTATTGCAACGTGAACTGTAGTTAAAAATGAACCATACTCGCTATCTTAACCTCACATAATGTTTAGTATCGTAAATCATTCCTCACTGTAATTTCGTAACGGACAAACTCCACACAACTTCAGATTAAGCCGCTTATTATAAGTCATGATGGACGGCGTCTATCACATATCCAGACCTTCAGAATATGAAACTTTGATTACACCCGGTCAGAGGTCTCATACGAATACGTCACTATTTCTCTTTCCTTTATGCGACTAAAAAATGTAGACATAGTACTGCACTTTTTTTGAAACTCAGACTGTGAACGCGTTTCTTTTAACACATTGACGACCAAGGCGTTTCGCGGACCGGTCAACATATTTTAGATAAAATCACACGCAATTTTATCTACAGTACGCCTACAGTAACTCTGGAATGCTGGCAAAAACAGTAAAGGTTGTGTCTAGATCCAGCACGAAAGAAAACTCCCGGAGTGGGTTTAACACAAATTAGTAGCCATTTCAACGATACACTTGGTGTGTCAAGGCTTGACGCACCAAGTGTATCGTTGAAATGGCTACTATTTTGTGTTAAACCCACTCCGGGAGTTGTGTGTGTGTCAAGCGGTCGTCAATGTGTTAAAAGCAACGAAAATAAAAGCAAAAAAAACTACTTTCCAACTTCAAGAAAGAAAACGTGATTCTATAGGAACTCTATTTTGTCTCAAAAAAGAGCTTTTATTGGAGCAAAAATATCAAGTATTCGCTTTAGCATCTCTTGAAAGGTGCATGGGTAGATTTTCGACACCTATTTGTTTGTTTCAAGCCTTTTTAGGCGCTAGTCTCAAGGAAATTGACGGATATCAAATTAGATGAAATTCTAGTAGAAATTCCACTTTCAAGGATTTTTGGATTACCGTGGAAGAGTACGCGCCAGCTCGTATCGCAACTTTGAACACATATTAGATATAGGCGTTTCCCATGCGTATAGCGGGCGTGGCCCTGCAGACATTCTAACACGTTAGAAAACTTATTAAACCTCCATTTTGAAATATTAGTTCTTGTACTCTCTCAGTATCAAAAACTGCTGCGCGGGTAAGTTGGCAAACGTCGGCAAAGTTCCGCCCGCTATACTGTGGGGAATAAACGATATACCTTACAATTAGATTGGGAAGACGGTTTTTTTGCAAGGGCGGTCTCCAGCGCTACCCTGATTTGACTGATTTTAACACGTCACCACACCGCAAATTTTTCCTCCCCTGCTTCGCTCAAGCAAAAGCCGCCGTAGACTGTATCACGCCCGACGATGGTCCTGGGTAGAAAACATTACGGTCGTGCGAATCGCCCTACACTCCTTAGATTGTGCTTGCATGTGAAGACGCACGAAGGTCAACGGGGATTTTGTTCTAAAGGCGGGCGGCACATTGAAGTGGTTGAAGTGGACGGATCGCACATGACTCTAGTTTGCAAACCGATTCAGTTTCTAGAAGCAGTTTTGGGACCGAGTTTCTAGCTGCAGTTTTGAATCGAAGTCCTGAACGACCGCCGGGTTAGGCAGGCATCGTAGAAACAGATGGCTAATGTCTCACACTTCGGCCGCAAAATTTTGAACTGATCACCAGATTTTGCGAGAACGCTTTTTTCTCAAATATCTGCAAAAAATCAGAGCGAAAAAGAATCAACAAGTGGCTTCGCAAAAGCGCCAGTCAGTTTTTGAGATTTTGCCACCGGAATGTAAAAAGTCAACAAGGCGCATTTTACCATGGCTGCCTACCCGTGACGACTGTAGAGAGGTAGACGAGTGTTGTTGAGCATCTGCATGGTCGGTGCAAAGGTTTTGTCACATTTCTGATGACCCGCAATTTCGTCAGGTAATGATAGACAAATTTAAGACTCCAGTGCATTTCTCCTTCTTTCCGGCTATTATGTTTCCTATCAATTAGGTTGTCCCATAAGTCTTTTCATATCTGACTTTTTACCGACATAGCAAGATGCGAGGCACCATTCGACAGATCAAAGCAAGCTCTACAAACTGGTGTTTGAAGATTCGTGTCAAGCTTGATCCGCATTAAATTTCACTACAACATAAATATTCCGATTTCCTGAAAAAAAGGAAAATAATCGTATCTCAGTTCGAAAGAATTTTGCGGGTTCCACACTAGCTTATGCATATACAGTCCCCACATTCTGCATTTTTCTCTGGCTAAGATTTGGGAACGAATATCGCGCTGAACTTCCAAACTTCGCCTGTGGCCGTTTTGTATTCCTCGCAAGTATGAGATTATATATAGCTTCTTCACTCAGAAATACTGCCACAAGTTTACAGCCTTGTAGGTGCCGTAGCTGTTGAAAAATATCAATTTGAAAGTGAAACAGGCTTATGGGAAAACCTAATCATACAGTCGAATAGATTTTCCGCTTAATATAGTGTGCTTGCACTGAAGGTGAAATGCAGTGAAATTTTTGCGTGAACAAATAGCTTCGACTGTGACGCCGGTCAATTGCGCGCGCAAAATGCCCGCAAT